ACCTACTTTTAATAATATCAAAAACAGTATTACAAAAAGTAGGCAGTAAAACTGTTTCAGTATGTATACGAATTAAAGCGCTTATTACACTATACAATTTTTAGGAAATCTAATTAGGAACCTAAATTGGAAGCTAGTGATCACACTACACTAAATTGGATTCCAAATCGTGACGAACCGCATTCGTAAAGAAGTATCGACGGGGTTGCACGTTTGATCGACGGCGCCGTATTTATTAAAACAGCAGAAAATAGGACTTGCCTTAGCCATGGTGGGAACAATGGATATTAAAAGAAGAGAAAAGAGTACTTGTGATTGAGAAAAAACTGTCCAATATGAATATAATTAAGTATATATTTTTAGATTCTAAGCAGTTTTTTTATAGGATAGGATGACAAACTAGCATACAGCCCACCTGATGGTAAGTGGTTGCTGCGGCCCATGGACATCTACATCTATCTCCGATAACAAATCAAAATGCAGATGTGTTGTCACCTGTGACGACTAAGATGGAATGCCTCGTTTTCAGTAAAAAGGGTCTCCGGTTCTCTACACTCGCCATACGAAACGCTTTACGCTGGTATTCTGTGGGAGCGTGGTGCTTCCTCGGTCGAGCCGACTCATTCGTGCTACAACTATACTACTAATATAATTGCAGCATGGTTCTACCACCTATAAACAGTTTGAATATTTGTTAAGTTTGGTATCGAAACATATTGAAAGTCACGATATTTCGATAAAGTGTGAGTACCAAAGAATGTTTGATGGTGACATTACGTTTTATAGTCACCGGAAATTAATATTAAGATTTAAAGTACTGCTCTCTGATATCAGACTTCTATCAAAACTTCAAGACATCCGCTTGTATCAAAGCGCGGGCGCCGACTGGTTGTTCTAATTCTAAATCGTAACGTTGCGATTACACTGTCCTAAATTGTAAACAATTTAGGAAGTAGAGCGATTGGGACCTCCAATTTGACTAAATCGGATCCTAACTGTTCTAACTACGATTACACCTTCCTATTTCCTAATTAGATTTCCTAAAAATTGTATAGTGTAATAAGCGCTTAAAGAACAATATCACACATTTTACTATTATAGAAGAGGTATATGTAGAGCTATATATAGCGAATTAGTTCAGATTCAATTTGTTGGAGGCGCTAGTAGTTCAATTTTGTCTGCAATAAAATGTCGTCAGAGGGCTCTCTTTTCCTGTATATACTTATTATACTCTTTGGATACTAACGGGGCGACAGGAATCAAGCTTCAGGGCGCCGATAGTTTAGATAATTTCTTTTTACAGTAAAAATAATGGTATTTTAAAAAAAGTAAATAACATAAGCACTGCTTTATAGTTAGTTCAGTTAGTATACAAAGTTTCATGATCTTATTAAAAGTATTTTATGAATAACAGCGGTTTATTGTTCAGTTTGGAGGTAACTTTGGAATTTTTTTCTATCGAGAAAATTTTGGACGGAATCGTGTTTTCGTCTAACATAATCTTTAACATTAATCCTCAACTTTACCCACAAAATATATTTATTTCAAAATTAATGCTGCAATACTTTCGGCATAACTGAGGATCTTGCTAAGCCATTTCAGGTTATATTTCCCCTCTACGAAGGTAACGGTAATAGGGAGAAAAAGCATGTTATAAACGTGTTATGATTGACTTGAGACATACTGAAAGTATTTACTCTTCTTAGATGTTTCAAAACAACCACTTCTTATGTTTGTGTGGAGAAAAATTATTTAATTTTTTTGTATAAGAAAATGGTGCATATTTCTCGTGAATTAAAATAATAAAGTTAACATTTTTTTATTTTTTTAAAATCTAACCGGATATAAAACGAGTTTGCAAGTTCTATATGAAAATTATTTATATGGCAGACAGCTGAAGCTGTAGAACTTAGAAGCTTGAAATTATGACAACATTGCTTACTTTTATTACGTAGGCATTAGCTAAGATAGGATTTTGAAAAATTCAAACCCCCAGAGAGTAAAATAAGGGGTTTCAGCAGTTTGTACGACACTATTTATTTTACGGAGCGATCGACTGTTCAGTACTCTATTTTTTTATAGGATAGGGTGACAAACAAGCACACAGTCCACCTGATGGTAAGTGGTTACTGTGGCCCATTGACATCTATATCTATCCTCGATTACGATTCAAAATGCAGATGCGTTGTCACCCGTGAGGACGGAAGAAGAAGGAGGTGAATGCCTTGTTTCCAGTAAAAAGGGTCTCCGGTTCTCTACACTCACCATACGAAACACAGCAACTTTAAGCTGCTATTTTACACTGGTATTCTGTGAGAGCGTGATCCTTCCCCGTTCGAGCCTAACCATTCATACTACAACCATAATAGCTGCAGCGTGGCTCTACCATTACAAAACTCTGTAGATAAAATAAATGAATACGTAGTTTTCGATTTTTCGAAACAACCCCTTACCTACTTATTTATTTACTTTCATACTACCCAACCACGTAACGGATTTTGATAAGTTTTTCACTGTTATTTAGGGATTTTTTACGGAAGGTTAGTATGTACAATACATTCTAATTAAGTTTAAATAGCAGAAAAAGTTCAATATTTTATAATTAAGTTTATAAAATTCAAATTCAAAATTAACCAAACGAAGTAGACGTTTTATTTTAACGATGATGTTTATGTTTTGGAGATGGGAGACATTTTTCCGATTTCAGTACGAGCCGTTTGAGGTTTGTTGGTCATTAAAAGTCGATTTTTTTAATTCTACTAAGATATTATATTTTTGGGAATGAGAGTAAAAAAAGTAAGAGGAAATGCGAACAAATAAAGGTAGAACTGTAATAACCCAGTTTCGCTCTAGCAGTACAAAATATCGCGCAGGCGACTAAGAGAGATCTTTAATTATACGATATATATATATATATATATATATATATATATATATATATATATATATATATATATATATATACGTAGTTCTATGCCCGTTGGGGCATTCTGCTAGTGTAGGCAAGGAATATCGTGTTGCTGAGGCTGCCCTGTGTTACATTATGATGAGAAGTGATGCTGTTGGTTTGCATTTCATCAGTTTGGGAACGTGTTATAGTCGAACAGTATCGCTCTATACTGAATGTATGCTGCAGTGCGGTGTTCTTCAGAATGGTTTGTGACAGTAAGCAGCTAAGCAGGGCTTGATGTTCTTTTGAAGTGGAATAATTTTTTATATGAGAAGTGGGATTAAAACTTTTTCCTATAGTTCTACATTCTATTTTTCTAATAATATGTTTAACTTTTACAAACGTCGTTCAAGAAGTCTGAGTAGTCCCTTGAGCTTGGATGCCTCGGGGCACTGCTCCACCCAGCCACAAGGTAGCTACGCCACTGTTTAGCGTAACCACGTAAATACATAAATCTCACATAGTCACACATCAAAACAAACAGCAGTAATATGTTATTATTTTAAGTTGGTATTCTATGAGGCCGTGGTTTTCCCCAATCCAACAGACCTATTCGTTTTGCAGCCAAGTACAGCTACAGAGTAACTTTAGCGTGACCACGTTAAATACATAAATTTCACTCAGTCAGACATCCCGGCCCTCAATTTTAGAATAGGATGTACCTAGTAGCGGATATTTACTGACGTGAGTCTGTAAATATTAATCGAAATATGACTGCCTCGTTGGTCTAGTGGTTGTAGTAGTGCGACTGCTGATCATGAGGTCCTGGGTACGAATCCCGGGTCGGGCCAATAAATTTATTATTGAGTTTCAAGAAATTCTTAATAGCTGTCCGGAGTCAGGAAGTTGGCAGTGTCTCACCCCCGTGCCTCGGAAAGCACGTAAAGCCGTTAGTACTGCGCCTGACCTCCCCTTCGGTTTACCGTCCCACCGGATTATGAGAGTGAGGGAATAGAGAGTGCACTTGTGCTTACGCATACACTTGGGCACTATAATCCTGTCATGCGCCGATGGCTAGCCTCCGTTGAGGCAGGCCGCCGTGGCCGATATTGGGTCTGGACCTCTGGAGGACATTATTATTATTAATCAGAAAAAATCAGACTCGCGCATGAAGGGTTCCATATCATCATAAAAACACATTTTAGGTAGGGTAGCTAGCCTCTTTAATTTTTAATTTATTTTTATTACTTGTTTTTATAGCGGCAACAGAAGTATTTCTGTTGCCATTCTGTGAAAATTTCAGTTGTCTATCTTTTACGGATCATGAGGTACAGCCCGGTGACAGACAAACGGACGGACGGACAGCGAAGACTTAGTAATAGGGTCTCGTTTATTACCCTTTGGGTACGGAGCCCTAAAAATTAATTTCTTATTCTACGCATGTAGTTTATGTGGGAAAATTGCGGGTAAAATAAAAACATGCTTTGGATATAATTTTATTTATTGTATTAAAAAGTTAATAAATCAGTTTAAGACATTCAGAAGCTCTCTAAGTATAAATAAACAGAAATATGAAATGGATAAAGACATTTTCTCTTCTCTGCCATAGTATTACTTGTCATTGGTTTCAGTCACTAGTCTTTTGTCCTCTCTCCATTTACAATTGCATAGTTTGATGTCAAGTAAACAGTCGTTATGAATTTCATATTAATTTAAATTATTTTATTTAAACTAATATTTTTACTAACAACTGAATGTACATTGTCAAAAAAAAAGTTAAATATGTAATAAAAAATTATAGGAACCAACTATAACAGGAAATGGCGTTTAACGCCAACATTAAACCATTTTCGTATTAAATAACCTCCAAGTTGTCCATTGGTTCATTAGAGTGCCCTGCTTACGCAGCCAAGACAAATCTGCAACCGATTTGCCGTCAGCAAGGTTACAATGAGGGACCTCTTCTCGGTTGCAAATAAGTGATCAAACGGATTGAAATGACGGAGCCCATGTCGCGCCAAGTGGGTTGTTTTGATATCACAATACAGTTAGAGATGCGAATAATACACCATCACGTGTATTGTAATACCATTCGGTTCTCGTAGCAGCTTTAAGGTAGGGGATGGAAGGTGAGCTCGGTTTGTGAGTGAGCGAATAGAAGGTTTAACTGAGAGTCCAATCCCACGTTGAAGACCTTAATCAACTTGGCAGCAGATTGTCCTGGCTCCTTGCGCACCAGTGCTGTTCCTGATACTTTCATGAGATGTACTTCGAAATCAACTGAACCTCCTCCCGTTGTGGCCAGTTTCACATGACATGTTACGTCGACTTGAATATATTTCTCCACGGCCTTGCCACGCTGCCCTGGTACATCCACGTATTCTGTCTTTTCTTCGATCTGTGGTAAATCTGCTCGAAACACGCTTGCTTCCCCAAGCAGTCCCTTTAAAAAAATAAACCGCATTAACCATGAGCGTAGAAGAAATGCAGTTCAATGAAAATAAGAAACTTGGCGTTATCCCAAAATTACAAACTACGTTGTAACGTCATGTAGCAAACAAATAGGTATTCATATTATTCTTCTGTTTATTAATAGATCTATTTCAGTACCGGGTTGACTGTATTCCAGCTATTCAAATAGAACAAGATATAAAATCTGGTAAATGTTATGAAAATATTAAATTTGCTTACTCCATTTCCGGTGATAAAGAACTTCATGCCAGGGTGGACAGCGCGAGGCTCCATGCCAAAACCTTCAGGGTGAGAATCAGACCAAAAGTAGTTCTCAGGTGCATTAAGGGTATCCGGCTTAAAGGTTATGCGTTTTCCGTAGCCCATGCCGATTGATTGCAGCATCAAGGCGCGACCTTCAAAGAGATGGCGACGACTGTTCGCTGGACGCACACGGTAAGAAAATCCGGGAATAATGCGTGGATCAACGTATGTTCCTGAAATGAAAACAAAGGTAGGAATATACATATATTAACGGTAAACTTTTCCAAACCTTTAATAGCAAATGAGGCAAAATATTGTACCTATAACAGGGAGTTCGTATCTTTCCAGTCCAACTACGGAGTACTGGCATGGAATATCATTAATATCAGAACCATTGACTTTAATCCTTCTGGATGAAGACACAATGCCAGGTTTTAATTCGTAACCTTTCTTCAGCTGTTTGATTCCAATAGCAACATTAATGACTCTCAAGACTTTAGCATTACCACGACCTTTCTTTAATAGAGCTACTCCAGTAACAGGTACTAATTTAGTAGCACCATCGTTTTCATACCATTCTACTTTGCAAAGCGTGCTTATTTTCACCTTTTTCTCGATTGTACCATCTTCCAATATTGATTGTTCCAGCTCGACTTGGTTTTTCTGTAATTAAATTTCAATTATGAATACGCCCATAAAATGAATTAAGAAGTATTAAATAATTTTGTCTAAATTCATTTTATTTGAAAATAAAAGTAATTAATTTGTTTACCTGTTGCTGAACAACTTCAAGAATTCCCTGTGGATCATGATTGGCGTCATAAATAGTAAATTTATCTCCAACAGAAACTGCTTCGATCTCAAACACGAATCCTTCAGGACTTGAATCCGTCCAGAAATAGTTAGCGTTATCGTTAAGGGTTGAGTCAATTGGTTCAAATGTAAGGCGGCGGGCAAATCCACGCCCAATCGATTGAAGGGTAAGCGCTTTTCCTCCAAATAAATATCTCGGCTTCATTGATAAGGGAGGAGCATCCAAAGCCTAAAATATTAAAAATATAATTTATATGCTGCCCAGTAAATAAAACACATAAAACAAAACTGACTTTTTTCAAAAATTAATGGAAAACGTTAAAAATTAATAATTTTAAATCATTATCTTAGGTCACCACTTTAAAAAATCAAATTTAATTTAATGAGATAGGTAGTCAGAAGCTTTGATTATTTTTCCATTTATTTAGATGTATCCAAAGTAGGCAAGCAAAGAATGTGCCTTTATAATATGTGAATCAGTTTAATATTTTGTCAGTTTAGTCCCCCAAAATAAATGAAGTAAAAGCTGAAAAAATAACCATGCACTGACAACGTTTTTTTTTTCAATTAGACTGAAACTAGATATGGAAAAAAATGGCATGGTGCCCTTATGAATGATACTTATGGTTTACCTATTAGAGACATAACATGCTGGCGGCCAGTAATGTCACTTTCGACCTGTCGGGTCTCTGCGAGCTTTCTTGAAGGACAATCATTGTATGTGTGAACGCCGCGCTTGGCGTGGTTCTGAAAAACTGGACGATCCACATACCATCGCCTACATCGGCAAGTGCAAACAACCAGTGGCGAAAGATACGCAAGTTAACAGTGTTGGTCGTTGATGAAATTCTGTAAATGTCAGCAACGGGCACTGCTACTTACTAAACTAACTCCCGGCTAATAATGGTCGAATAGTTCTAGACCGCTGAAATCGACTAGCGTACCGAAACAAATTGAATTTGGACTAATATTACAATTAAAGAATTAAAGTTAACACATAAGTGAATAAACTACAGCAGCATCTTTTAACACGTATCCGTAAGGTTGCCATTACAATCAGTTGCGAATGTTCTCTTGAGCATTGCTAAACAAAATTGTACATTTAACATAAAGCATTTCGATAGGCGTTTGCATAAATGTATATTGCTTACGTAATTTAGGCAAGAAACTAATTTTATATATTGTTCACGATACGGTATACTCGTATATTATTATTAACCATGACAACCTTACTGTTTATTTCAAAGAAACTTATTTAAGCTACAATGCTTCAACAAATTTATCCAAACAACGGGCTACAACTGACAGTGGACATATTATATACAAATTAAAAACATCCTCAAAATGAAATTTATTGTCAAAATTTTGATTTAAATAAAATAAATAAAACTAAAACTATTCTGAATTTTCGCGTTTGTCATGAACATTTTTGTATGATTGAATTCGAAAAACTCACCATCCATCTTGATCTCTGAAAAGAAGAATCATTCAAAAATGTTCTCTTCCCACTTATTACCAATCCACTGTTAGTTTTAAAATAGGTGCTATACATATTTATGACATGTTTTTGGTGAAAGAAAAACAAGAGAAATGTAGACAAAGGACGTAAAAATATGTTAAAAGATAGCTGAATTTCCAAGGGTCCAAACTCAATTATAATTGAAATTTGAAAGCATAGCCGTTTCAGTAGGAAAATTTTGCCCCTGTTTGATATGGATCTTCGTAGTTTTTCTCTTTTATACAAGTAAAGTTTACATTCATGATACAAAAGCTTTTTGAGCTAACCAAAGAGCAAGGCACATTAATTATTTCTGAGGAATCATATTCAGCTAAAGTGCTTGCAATTCATAATTTAAAAAAACAATAGTGAAATGTGGACGATTGCGTTCACTGTGTTAAAGTCACATTGCAATCATCAACACTTCTGTTAAAAAAATACGACAAATCTTCAAATTGCAACGAAATGACCACTAAGATGATTTTGAGTCATTATCAGCATATTCTCTCACCTGCATAGGTCTTATTTTGTATCTGAAGCCAGTTCTAACTCTTGGGTCAATATAAACTCCGATAACGGGCATTTGATGAACTGCTGGTTGCGGTACACGGTACACAGCAGGAATGTCGCCGAGGGTACTGGCATCAAGTACAACTTCTTTATCGTAGGTGCTTGAACTCCAATAAACTTTGCATGGAATTTCAGGATGTTCCTGAAAGATATTAAAATTTAAAATAAGTATGGAAATAACATTGAACGAATGTTTTTTAATGTTTAGTAACCTGTTTAAGGAATATACTGGTAGTAAAATAAATAAACTACCTACTTATTTAAATATATGTATTATGCAATACGCCTCTTTGAACATAGACTTAATACAAAAAGACAACGATAAATTGTTAAGCTATAATTAATATTTGATGAAAGGTTTGATAATATAATATGACGCTTGATTGAGCAGGAAAAATTTATCTCCATAGAGACTTACATAGATATTTTCACAGGTATATAATTCTTCGTAAATAACACCTGCGAGCATTTTCGAAATGTCAAAATCAATATTAAAAAATTAAAATATTGTATAAAATAAGACCTACACTCATAGCCGTTAAGAGATAAAATAAAGAAAGCTCGTCTTGGGATTGCCAAGTTTTATTATGTTGTATGAAATTATGCCAAGAAAGATAACGCTGTAGAGTTTTTGGTTTCATTTTTATTTTAATCTGCTTTTGGCTTTTGAAACAAAAATATTCACTAAAAAAAATGTAAATCACGTTTTAAAATGTGATTAGAAATAAATTTCATTTACTTTAACTATTTTAGATCTAAATAATAATTATGCGATAAAGTAAAACTCCATTTCCAAAAGCCCCCGAAAAATAATTTCCTAATACGAATTTCATCTACAGATGTACGAATACACAGATATACATAATTTATACTGTACGACGTACATCTACAATCAAAGCAAATTGATTCAACTGCGACGCTGAAAACGGGCCAAAGTCCGTCCAGGAGATCGATCACAAGCTATTTATAGACAATACGTGAAGCGCGGAAATTCAGCGGACTGTTTAAATATATTAACTGTGCCCAGTCGCTGTGTATAGCAGTAGCACTCACTTATTTGTCCTCATAAGTTTATTTTCTCATTATTCTCTGAAAGAGAAACCTTACAAGATATAGTAGATCATCAATCAATGAAGCACTAGCTATGAATGATTAGGGAGAAATTAAATGTAGAATTGAGATAAAGCATTCACATTTGGTTATTGATTTTATCAATATAAGCAATATTATTGTGTAGATTACTGTCTAGAATTCTGGCGGCTATCGAAATTTTATCATTTAAATTGACGGCTCTGGGGATTTTACATGGAAAATAAATAACACTATTCGAAATAAGCGATCTTTTACAAATTTCAAACAGAAATATTTATTTATAAAAATATGTATTTATAATTTAACCTATATGCCCATTTCTGTCAATAACTAACATGTATTGTAATGGCGTAAGAGAAGTAACTTATATATTTATTTATTATCATATAAATACAATAAAAACAATGTACCAACTTGCCTAGCATATCGTAAAGGCAACTAATGGAGTTTGGGTTTCTGATTGCATAGGCGAAGATCTTTTACCACCTATCATTATATTTATATCATTCCAATATTTTATTTTTAAATAAACACCTACTCTATTTTTACTGTCGTCAGATGACGGCGTAAAAATGATCTATCGCTCAATTTCGCCCCGGGAGTCCCGTAAGAGGTGACTATCGAAAGGTCAGAAAGTCCTCATGGCTTGCGATAAGTGGCGACATACTATCTTGAAGTGCTAAATATAAAATTCTCAAACCGGCGATGGAAAACGGCAAATTTGCAAGAGCGGCTGTTGTTATGGTTTTATAAAAAAAAATAAGAAAATAAAAGTATTATACCCCGCACTTAAAATATTTTTCTTATTCTTGCTAATTTATTAGAGCTGAAAAAAAAACAATCATTTTATAATAACCTCCACAGGCTTCGAAAGATTTTTTGTTACTTTTGATGATTATTATGATTCCTTAAAAGATGCTTACCGGTACTTCCAGCTCCGAATACGCCTCTTCGACATCACTTTCATAATCACTTGGAGCAGAAATAAAAGTTTTCGGCGTCTCCTCGGGCTCCTGCACAAATTTTTACTTCATAATATATTCAGACAAAAAATGGATACATATAATATTTACTTTATATCACAAAATTTATTGTATTGTATGTGTATTATATATTAGACAACTAATATATGATACGCAATTTTTGTGATGTAAAATTACTAGACAAATAACGTTTAGAAAAAAACATGTTAAATATACTAAGGTTAATGATAGATTAATTGTAAAAGTACATTCTAATCGTACCTAAATATTAACAGATAGTTTATTCGGTTAACCCTGTGGTATCGTGTTACATACAATAAAAAAGACAAAATCAAAGAGATAACTCCTCATCTAAAGCAAATGGTCAACAACATAATAATCATTAATATTTCGCAACAACGCATAGTAGTTACGCAAACAATGACGGTACTTATAATTGATGTTCTGGATTTTAAACATTAATCATTACGTATAGACGATTGAAAAATTTTATACGTGGTAGAGCCACGCTGCATCTATATTATGGTTATAGCACGAATGGGTCGACTTGACCGGGGCAGGACTACACTCTCACAGAATACCAGCGTGAAATAGTAGCGTAATGCTGCTGTGTTTCGTATAGAGGTTAGTTTAGAGATCCGGAGACCCTTTTTTACTGGAAACGAGGCATTCCATCTTAGTCCTCAGGGGTGACAACGCATCTGCATTTTGATTCTTAATCGAGGATAAATGTAATTTCTATGGGCCACAGCATCTATTTACCATCAGATGGACTGTGTGCTTGTTTGTCAACCTTATTCTATATAAAAAAATTGAAATGTAATTTTTGTTATCATTCGAATTTTGAATTTGCTTATAATATGTCAATCAGTACGATATTATAACAAAACATACTTTAAAGTTTAAAAGCAAAGTTTTAATAGGAATAGACATTAATTTTGAAATGTTAATTTTGGAAATAAATCCTAATTGATCCAATTGATATTATAAATTCTTAATATAATATTACAAGGGAACCAGTTAGAGAAAGTAATATTTATATTTTCTTTTTAATAACAACATTTTGAACCCTAAAATTTCGTTAAATTTCATCACGCACAAATTAGAGATACGATTATACGAGTATTTACGTAGCTAGCATACGAGTCTTATCTATGAACTACGGGACAGATAAGTATTTATTAAAAAAAACTGACAATCTCACATTTCTGATAGCGAAATGAGGCCGATTTATTATTGCAACTTTTAATAAATTGGGCCTTGACTCACTTGAGACGCGTCCGTCGCCAATGAAGTATTAATATCACAATTTTTTCTTCATATATCTGAATTTTAAAACACTGTTTCCGGTTTTTACTGTTATAAATGGTTACAATGCGCTTACTACGTGAAGGGCACTTTATATCACGTGGTCATTACAACCTTGCATATTTTTGTCAGATATTTTAAAACTTATAAGTAGGAGCTTTAATTTTAAGGGAGAATGTTGGTAAATGTTTTAAGCAGTTACATTTCTTTTAGCATGCATGTGTATTACATTTACAGTCATTCAAATTTCACTGCTAACATAGACCTCCTCCAAAGGTTTGACATAGGTGGGTATTTGCCATAGTTGCCACGCTTGGCGGGCGGTTTGGCACCGCAGGTTTTTATAATTTTGAGTTGTTATCAGGAAGATGCTGCTGCCCGTTTCTTGTTTAATTTTGCTCTGCCGCCTGTTACGGCGCCTCTACACGTTGGCCAACACACTGGCGAATGTAGTGGCCAATAGCATTGGCCAACGTGTAGAGCGGGTTTGAGCTTCATTGGTATGCATTAGAACGATGGCCCACAAGTTGGCGCGAGATCCGTTTGGTGTCGGTATTTTACAAAAGATCAAAGGATTGTAGGCAGAATTTGGCCGCCGCGTCCACACGTTGGTCGCGCGTTTAGTTTGCTACAAGCTCCCAGAGTGATTTAATCGATTATAACTCATTTAACTTTAATATAAGTTAAGTTCCAATTAATGGTATTTATTCCAGTTTGTGATGCATGTAAATAATAAATAAAGATGCATGTAATAAATAAAGCTAATCGTATTTCTATTCACAGCCCCATTAATATCCACTATTCTTTTATAAAAACGTTACCCCCACACTTGGATTTTCTCCTGTATCGCGGAGGCAGCTTACAAACAAAAATTGCACAAGGACACAAATCCAGACCCGGAACAATTATTTGTAGGACATACAAATACTTGTTCCATGCGGGATTCAAACCCGCGGCCCCCGGCGCAACCACTCATTGCTAAGCCACTACACCACGGAGCCGTCGTCTAAAATAAAATAAATTAATCCGCACATTGGCCTGAATCGAAGCAAACTGAACGACCTTCCAACGTGTGAATGCCGTCACAAACTCTCGGCCAATATCTTTTATCTTCGCCACTGTGTTGGCCAACGTGTAGAGCTGCCGTTACACCACAGGGATGATATGGGGTAGTGAATTAGACTTACGCAGTCGTTTCACGGCTGGTACTCTACCATTAATTAACGTACTGTTATTATACTCTAATTTTAATCTTTAATACAAAATAAACAAAATATGATTTGGAAAGACCCCTAAAATATTTGACTCGTCAAAAATATATCAATTTTAGGTATCTCAAAATTATAATTATTTACGAATATGCATTATATGTATAATATATCGTATTTACCTGTGCTGAAGGCAAGGTCTCAACGAGAGCAGGCTCATCAAGCGTGGTAGAGGTGCCTGCGAGACGGGCGCGGGTCAAGTTCCATAAACGGCGCAGAGCCAACGGAGTCTCCTCCGTTTGAATTTCCATTGCTGGGTTCGCGAGCATTCTTGTAATTTCAAACAGACTTCCTGTCAAAATTAAATTTCATTAGCATAAACATCTTATTAAAGTTATATCTTCCACCTTATTAAGACGAGCGGAGTTGGCAAATTTCTTGGCCACAACATATCTTTAATTTCTTAAAGAAGCAAATTTTAACAGGCATGTTGCAACCGCAATATTTTAGATAGTGAAATCCTCATAAAATTATTAAGATATCATTAACTTTATTATACCATAATTTAAAAAAACCAAATGATAAATTTTTAAATTGCAACAAGATCCAGTAAAATAAATAAGTAAAATTAAAATTCTACATTGGGTATGAGGGTGTTTAATCAAAACCCAATTCTTTTACCTTACCTTTGTGTAATATATAAGATATAATGTATATATAATTCATAAGATATTAAGAAAGAATTAAAATTATTTAAATTGAGCACATTTTTATAATATTAACAGTTACAGTCCAAGTGGCGACAGCCTGTGGAAACCCAGTAAAGTAAAAGTAAAGTTACAGCCTATATACGTCCCACTGCTGGGCACAGGCCTCCCCTCATTTCTGAGAGGGTTTTAGGGCAAGGAAGTGTCCGCCACGCTGCCCCAATGCGTGTTGGCGAACTTCACATGTCTTCGAAATATTTTTTTATTATTCCTCAGACATGCAGGTTTCCTCACGATGTTTTCCTTCACCGCCGAGCACGTGGTAAATCAGCACTTAAAATTGCATTTAACAATTTCATTGGTGCCGGCGGGGATCGAACCCGGGTTACTCGCGTTCTGTTATATTTACAGCGAGCGGTGGAAACCTAGATATAATGAAAAATACGATGTTACTCCGAGGACTGTGACAAAATGCCAACCTGTAACTACACTGGATTTTAGACAGCACCACACCCTCAGAAATAGGCAAGATGGTAATAAGCTGTAACAGTACAGAATTTTTTTAAGAAAAGAAGCAATATATAGGGTATATATTACTTATCTACTTTACTTACATATTTCTATTATTTATGTCAGTATCACATTTCTGGAAATTTCGAAATACATATAACGGTATATAATACGGAAACCGGCATGTTGCGGGTTGTCCATAATAAAAATAGAACATCTGCATTTTTTATTAGGGTATTACTATTTACCAAACATTGTTTCAAACCTTAATAGTCAAAGCAATGCAAATAAATGAATTAAATGTGTTTATGAAAGATTTTTGTTTCTTTAATCCTTCAAATACCCTTAGTCTGTAGGTACCTACTTCGTTTTGAACCAAACTGTGTTAAAAAGCCTTCTGTAATTTGTCAACAAGATAGGTATTGGGCTAATTTTGTCTTCGGTGTAATGTAACCTTTGAGTATTTACTCAAAGGTAACATTACACATTACAAAATACATTTTTCAGATTCTGGATAAATTTACGAAATAAGATTCTGGATATAAATCTTTAAAATCTTACGCCAACGAAATCGTAGCTGTAGATTGCTACACAAAAAAAGATATTCTTCAATTACCTATAGGTACCTACAAGTTAGACAAAAATTCATAACACAAAGAAAAAAAATTGTAGTTTTAATTTCTTACCTGAGAAAATGATCAAAATTTATTTCTAAAGCAGATAGACAGAAATATGTCAAATTCAACAAAATAAATGGTTTTAAAAACAAAACTTCATCTGGTGATTCCCAGTTGAGGCTAAACGTTCTAGGCGACCTAAATTCTATGCTGTTATCGATTTTTTAGAAAAGCTATGAAATTAGTAGATTTAATTAGGCCAATTAATGATAATAGGTATTTATTAAACATAATAAACAATAACATAATAACAATAACATTATATTGAGTTAAATTTTGGATTACTAGATGACAATAATTTTCGTAGAAATCAGTAATTAGAGTAATTACGGTCAGTAAGTACTTTTAATTAGTCAGGATTTTTTGGAATAGAGCGAGTAAGTAATTAAAATTTAATGTATTTACCAAGTCACATATTATGAACAAAAAAAAAAAAAAAAAAAAAAAAAAAAAACCTACAAAGAGAATAGGACGCCAAAGCGATAGAACTAATTAAAAAAACGCAAAACACAATTTAAAAAATTATAGGTTGTTGGTTCAATCTAGTGTTCAAATGCAAAGCATCTACTGTTCTATAAATTATAAAAAATATTGAAAATAACGGTGAAATAGGCTTCCCACTAGAGCCTAATCTTAATTTATTTGTAATGCCACGTCATATTTTGTTACAACAGTTGAATCTTCAAATTCGTAGACACTGTAAGCGCCGCTGCTTTATATGATGTTTGACTGAGATTATCGAGTTGAACGTTGGTCAGAATTTAAACAATTTTAAATGTCTTTATATATAATATTACGTAAAGATCCATTAAAAGTACTAAACATTTTACCCACAATTTCATGATAAAACAGTTCTAACCACATATCCTTAAATCTAAAAGACAGGTAGAATTTTAATGTCTGTAATGTCTCACAAAAAATGAACCTTTGCCATAGAATAAAAATAATAGTATGTATCTACTCCCTGTCCCTTTATCAAGCAGGTACCAAAGACGTATAAAAAAGAAACTACCTACTTTAGAACTAACTTTATAAACATCTTAGGCAGGTACAAGATCTTTTCAAATGGAGAACTGGTTTCACTATAAAAGGGATTTTAGTGTTACAATGTATAAAAGTAATGTGTTATACTTTGTGTAGTTAAGTAGTTGTTAAAACACAAAAAATTTAAAGTAAATACAAAGATGTATTATTTTCATACATTTTTTTAGATTTTTCCAAATAATTTTTGTGGGGGTTTTTAAAGTACATTGTCATTTTGATATTTAACAGCTTTAAATATATATATTGTTGGAAATAACATAACAACACCCATGTTGTTAAGATTCGGTAGTCGAAAGTGGTCCGATTTTAGTCCACTAGCACAGCGCGACGAGAGAGAAAGGCGCTTGTCGTTGCTGTTCTACTAATGTCGGCCATTTGCTGCGACTGCTTCGGTAACTTACTAGAACATTCTTCAACTTTTACAACAAAATCGATTTGTATGTTCAAATAGTAAAAACCATTTATTTTGTTTCCTTAGAAATGTCAACCATACATTTGAGGAAAACCTTTCGTTAACATTAAGGTATGCTTACCTTGACAACAGTAAAAACAGATGCGGTGTGCGTGGCACAGTGCAGGTATTTTAACGGCAAGCTCTGCAATACAAAAAGTTATCACAACTGCAGCAACGGCTTCGTAGTCGTAACCAACGTTGCAGAAGGCAAACGTACAGCAGCGGAAATCGAACAGAACTGAACGCTAACACTACGTTGTATGTATTTTAAACGTCAGTTATCCGTCTCCCCGTCTGCTCGCTGTTTACAGGAAAGGGATAACGATATGAAGAGTGAGCGAGACAGTTGTTGATTGAAAGTGCTAACCAAACGTCATTTGGTTTTGGAGACTGTGCTGCTTTGCGCATCATCAATTAGATCGTTATAAAAACCATCACCTGATATAACCCTTGAGGAATTGTGCGCATGAATTACATGATTTCATTCCTCTTAACGTCATCGAAGAACAAGAATCTTGAAATATGTTTATTCTTTCGATGATTATAACAAGAATCCTGAGGAAGCTGATGAATTTTACCATGTATATAAGACGGAATTATAGTCAAGCAATGGTTTATAATTTATAAAAGCTAATATTATGCAGACAGGATGTATCATCAAAACTGCGAGACTTATGGAACAGCGATTGCCAGCCAATCCGCCAGCCAAAATAGGGATTGCAAACTATGGAAAATATGGGAACCCCACGCTTAGTAGTAAACTTTTTACAGCCTGATGAAGAAATTTATAAAACAATCTAATATTTGCAGGATAAACATTTTTTTATAATATAAGGGTGACAAACGAGCATTCAGTCCACCTGATGGTAAGCGGATGCTGTGGCTCATAGACATCTACAGTTATCCTGGGTTAAGAATCAAAACGCAGATGCGTTGTCACCCGTGAGGACTAAGTGGAGGTATGTTTACAGTAAAAAGGTTCTCCGGATCTCTACACTCACCATACGAAACACAGCAGTATTAATCTTGCTATTTTAAGCTGGTATTCTGTGAGAGCGTGGTCGTTCCCCGGTCGAGCCGACCCATTCGTGCTACGTTGAAGTACAATTAAATTCTCTCAACACCATCAACTTTAACATATCTTTTCATTTCTTAATTATTATTTTAACTTCCTTTGAATGTCTCTGAAATTTGATGAAAAGTGAGCGAAATGGAACTGTGTAGTAGCAGTAAAGAATATCCGCTACCCTATATCTTCCCGAGAAAGTGGATGTAACGTAACAGGCGACAGAGCAAAACTGCAACAGGATATGGGCAACTGCATCTTCCTGGTACCATCTCAAAATTATGAACAACTGTGGTCGCAAGAAGTGGAAGCAAGGCAACCTTAGCGGAATTCCCACTAAAGGGAATAATGTGGGAGGTCTATGTGTAGCCGTGGACTTTATAAGTTGTAATGGACACTCTTATAGATCAATTTAATTACTAAAAAAAACCATTAAGGTCTTTTTTTCTAATCAATACGAGTAGTAAATTTTTATATTTACAGCAGCATGAAAAAAGCCCCAACTGAATTAAATACTTTTTACTTTGATTGTTAAGAAAGTTTTCCTACAAAGCGCAGTCCGGGAGTAGGCGCAGCTTGGGCAACTTTCACTACATGAAGTAACTACCTGATGAAAGCATGTTTTGTGGCAGTGCCTGGCAAAATCCCATATTCAGAACTGGAGACCTAATGGCAGAATTAGCGCAATAATTGAATTAAAGATAATTCTATGTAAAGTAAATTAAAAAAAATGCTCACGCCAATATGTTAGAAAATTTCTGAATTAGTTTTTATACAAATATGTTTTTAACTATTCACAGAAATTTTCTAGGAATCGTACATTTTACGCACATACATACATACATGCATACATACATATGGGCATACATGCACATGTATTCAAAAAATTGAACTCGCACGTTGTTACCTTAGGGGCACGCAGTGACCGCGTGTTACACGCACACATATGCATTATATTACGCATGCGTACACCGTCCACGGTTATGCTACGTCGAGGCCGACGTCACTGGTCTCTTTTCATTTTCAGAGCAAAGTTCAGATAAGGGTGTCTAGTGTCTACTATCTAATTAACTTATCTCACGGAATCGGACGACGTTTTGATCTGTGAGTTATGTATTTGTAAAATTCCATTACCCACTAATGCCGATTAGCCCGGCTAACAAGGTTGTCAACTCTTTACTAGTCTAGCAATTGACTTAGCATTAAATGTACTTATTCTTTTTTTATATTGGATAATACAAATAACTGATACTTATATGAATAAGAAAAATCTTTTTTGGTTAACGGTTTTCTCAAATGCTTTATCTCAGTTATTAAATAATAAATGAACTCCTACACCAGTTCCAAAAATAAAAGTAATAAATCCTAAAGAAACATTTTACAAATCGTTCACTCTCTAGTCCTTTAATTTCAATTAATCTTTTATAAATTCACCGAAAGTTCTCTCTGTACCGTCACCGTGAGATAAAATAAGATTTTCTGTAACGTACATTAAATACCATCCGGATGATGCATCGGGTTAAATATAAAGAGCAAATTCATTGCAAATTTACCAATAACTACATTAGAATCCTAGCAAATTATACTACCCATACAATATATTAAAGTATAAAGACAACTTTAATCGACTTTGATCGGACCTAGGACAACGTGTTCACGATTAATTATATGCCAACAATTTTAAGTGTACACAACTACGTGTATAAGTTATATATAATATAAAGGTCAAACGTGAACAATAAACCTGTTATAAGTAATAATATTTAAGGATATTTCATCAATTAACTCAGAATAAGAGAGTAATATAGTAATATCCGTTGGTTTATGATATTTTCTACTATCTGCATAAAAATTGTATAAAGTAAGATAACACCTGCTAAGTTCCACTGCATAGCCCAGGCTTCCCATTCCTTCCTCATTAACTTCCGTGCCTATGTTTATCAAAAAATTAATATTTCTTTTACCAAATAACTACAGATACATTTAATATGAAATATAAAATAAATATTTATTGACTTATAAGAAAAGCGTTTCATTTACTATTGAACATATGGCGCACATTTTTCTCTGCGAATAGTCAAAATTTACATGATCATCAGCGATACCTGCAGAATTCATCTCACCAGATACTCTCACCTGGACTGGAACCCCACAGGCAGAATCACGGGTTGGAGGCTTTCTATATTTTTGAAGTAGTGGCAACGTTTCTGCAAAAATCACAATAGGTCCAGTTATTCACTGTTTGCCTTTTGATAAACCATGAATTATGGAAAGCAGCGTCTATACCAAAAGCAAGCAGAGGATACCATCACTTTTTTCCGCGAAGATCTATCCTCATGGAGTCAATATTTTATTCAAAACGGTCTACTCCACCCACATACTTATTGCAAGTACATCTTGATAATGACTGGTCAATCCACTTGAATTTTGATCGCTTTTTATTTACAATATCAATACTATCTACTTTTATGACTATACCCAATCTAACTCCAATTATATTAGAGGTTACATTTAGAGTATGAATTCTCTGTAAAGCTTAGAAGTTGACCATATTTGCTATGAATTGTACAACGTCGTGGCTTTATAGCAATTACTCAAAATACTCCACGCCTGTCATCTCTTTCTGTAAGTTTAAAAAACTTCGTAGTAAAAAGAGCATAGGTGTATAATCTTTCTATTATTGCCTTTTTAATTTTTTCTTCGGTGTGGAAAGAAACGTTGAGGTCTTCTTCTATTTCCTAGTGAACACAATTTTCCTCAGAGACTAGACTAGGTCAACTTTGTAGTGCTACTTGAGAACGAAACACGCTACTAAGAAGATGAGTTTTTGCCTCGTTTTCAACCCATTGACTCCCTCAGTTACCATACCATCATCAGGTGGAAATAAAATAATATTCCCAGGGTCCTCTTCGGCTTACAACTCCCCGTAAATCTCATCGAATGGTAGCCTGTAAAACGTAAACATGCTCTAAAATCCCACGACAAAGAAATAAAACCGAAAGAAGCCAATAGATGTGATAATAAACAATGCTCAGTGCAGTGTCACTTACAGGTGACACGTCATGCGAGTATATTGAACGTTTTAATGATTATGGTGGGTATGTTTTTAGGGTTCCGTAGTCAACTAGGAACCCTTATAGTTTCGCCATGTCTGTCTGTCCGTCTGTCCGTCCTCGCTTAATCTCTGTGACCGTTAGCACTAGAAAGCTGAAATTTGGTACCGATATGTGTATCAATCACGCCGACAAAGTGGTAAAATAAAAATTGGAAAAAAATGTTTTATTCGGGTAGCCCCCCCTATATGTAAAGTGGGAAGTGATTTTTTTTTAATTTCAACCCTTACGTGTGATATATTGTTGGAAAGGTATTTAAAAATGAATAGGGGTTTACTAAAATCATTTTTTGATAATGTCAATAATTTCAGAAATAATCGCTCCAAAAGTAAAAAACAATGTGTCCCCCCCCTCTAACTTTTGAACCAAAGGTTTAGAAAATATGAAAAAAATCTGAAATGTAGAACTTTATAAGTACTTTCTAGGAAAATTATTTTGAACCTGGATGGAAACGGTTTTTGTACAAAAAAGACAAAAAGTTGTACAAAATAATTTCTGGACTAAGTTTGTAGTATAATCGTTTAAGCAGGCATTTTTTTTAACTTCGTTTACATATTTTATTATCCTGAACGTATCTTTCTTCAAACAAAAAAAAGAATTATTAAAAAATTATCTAAAATTACCACCGAAAACTTCTGGCACGTCTACGTATTAATTAGTAACCCAATTCCCCGAGAGATGGCGCTGTAGGTACTTATTACATTGGGTCGGGTATTATCGAATTGTTCGGTTGGTCTCTCCTTGGCATCGCCTGTCGCGGAGCGTGCAATGTTGCACGCTCCATGTTCGCGCACGTACCCACTACCGGGAGCAGTTGCAGGAGCGCGGAGCGCTGCTGGAGCGCGAACATAATGGATACCCACCTTTAAACTCATAAGTGGGTACACTTATTGTGACAGACGGGAAACTACGGAACCCTACACTGAGCGTGGCCCGACACGCTCTTGGCCGGTTTTTTTTTAATTACATTATTATTAAACCTAGCTCGTAATAAATTATAACATGCAATAAGAAAAATAACAACATACAGACAAAACAATAGGTTTGAAATTTTTTATCCCAGTTTAGATTACAAGAATATGCACCTACTCAGAAAACTACAAATACCAGCAAATTAACGCTTAGTTTATGTTGGAATAAAATAATAATGACTCAATAACATTATAATACTTTAAGGATATGATGCAAAAATAAAATTAACTTACGGTGGAAAAAATGTTAAACATCTATCACATACACAGGTGACACTCGCAGGTTGTATCACAAATCAATATTATCATTTTTCTATGAAATATAAGGCTACCGTCTTTCTCTAAGCTTACCTGGCTTTTGGACTACATAATGTATTACTATTCCACGAAAAACATACAGTACATTAAAAACCATTTTATAAAATTCCTATTCTATGATTAAAACTGTAATTGGCTTGGTATAGAGTATACACGTATAGGCTACCACGGCATGCAGAGCTAAATATAACAATAATAAACAAACAAATAAACAAATTTTAATATAATATTATTATGATAAATTATTTACAGCACGACGGCACTGACGACGAATATGAGTGTGATATTGTAGTGTACAAAAGATTTAAACGATTTTATCTCTTACAATATTTTACGAAGCATGTTGACATTTACGATTTCCTCTTCTTGACGAAAATTTACGTAATTATTGGTAAAAAGTAATGAGTACTGAGTTTCCTTCAAATAATTTTACCATATTTTGTTATGTGCGTGAATGTCGTTTTCAGTTAAAATGTTCGAAAATAAGATAATCTAACACCGCATTTCCGAGGTAATATTAGCAAAACGTTCCATGGCGATTTTTATAAAGCCTTCTTACATAATTATAAGTATTTATCACAGTTATACAACTGTACATTATTGAGATTAATAATTAATTAATGTATCGCCAATTTTTCGTATGTACATTAGCTCATACATCCACATATGGAGTAACGACACGGTAAAACATACGGGAAGTCGATGGATGCAAATGGCTCAGGAGTCAGGACCATGCTTTGTGGCATTAATTGAAGGATTTCTATGTTCAGCAGTAGACTTGTAATGGGCTGTATTGATGATGATTATTATGATATTAGATCATCTGTTAAAATAGTCGAACACCACCATCGTTACAGGTAATCGTAATGAATTGACGATTACCACCACTGGATTTAATTTACATTCTTTAGCTCATATTGCCACTAAAGTTTGATTCAAAGAAATAATCTGTCATTTAATACGGAAGAAACGATTGTTTTCATGTACGTTTACACTTACCTAGGCTGCACACGTGTACCTATAACACATATATATAACACAACACCTTTAGTGTTATTAGAAGTCATTGTTTTATAAACATGCCTTCAAAACCCAGACACTGTCTGAGAATTTACGGCATTAATAAAAGATTACGTTCATATTTTTTCGCTCTCGTTTCCTAAATGAGAAGGAAACTACTGATCTCATAACATCATCGTATCCATAATTTTAAGTGAATGTATTTGTGAGTGTTAAAAATAAATGCGTGCTACTTTTAGATGTACTAGAAGATAAAAGAAGGTAAATAATTAATACATAAAAATTTTGCGACTTAAGATAATCCATGACTCTATTTCACTGCGTGTGAGTTTTAAAAAGTGAAAAGGATTTTTTGGCTTCCGATAGATGAGTGAGTGAAAAAAAGACTAGCGAAGTTATTTCAAAGCTGCGTTGCGGGTTATTCCGTTTACCCCTTCGATCACCAATACCATCAATAGCAATTGGTATTGTTGATCGAAGGTTTATCCACTCTAAAATACCCACCCCAGGATGGATACTCGGAAACGCGTGTTCATAGTCGGAATTCAATTTTATTTGGTCTTCGGACTTTTTACTGCAAGTACAGTTAAACTCATACACAATTTTAACAACCACAAACTTGAACAAAAATCATATTATGTAATGCCGTTACCGTTACTAATACCGTTACAGCCTATTCAAGTTTATGCATTACGTTTTGAATTTAAATCAAATTAAACTTCTTCGTTTAAATAATATTATTACGTAATTTATAAATTCTGCAATATTTCCAGGAAATTAGCAACTTTAATTTCGTTGTTGAATAGGCGTAATTTGATATCCTTGATAAATTCGTCACTTTTCACGTACATTCGCAATCGTTTTCCAAATTTCTTTGCTACAACAGATGTGTTAGCGAAAAACTGGGCGTTTTTTGCATACATTCCAAAAACGTTGCTTCTGGATGTTTGTCTTTAACTTCATTTTAAATCGTTTGATGCCAAGATTCTAATGAATCTGTAATCGTGTGATGACCTTTCAAACAAAAAGTATGTATATATTTTTATAGGTATGCTAATGTCTCCTAAGTATATATCCCTCCTAAGTAACCCTGCGTTACAATCGTCAATCCACTTTCGACAGTCATAAATGACATTCCTTAGCTATAACAGTGATGACAATATATAAAAGTTGTGACCCATATCGTGCAATAGACTTTTAAAAGCTGATTAAAACGAATAGATTACCTAACCATAGTATTTTTTTATAAAAGAGGCAAAAGAGCATGCGGCTCACATGATGGTAACTGAATACCACCACTCATGAAAAACTGCAACACCAAGGGAATCACAGATGCGTTGCCGGCTTTTTAGAAAGGGCTCCTTTCTTTAAGGTACCAAAGTCGTATCAGTCCGCAAAATCGCCAGTGGTAAACGATTCCGATAAGAAGTCGTGCGAGGAAGAAAACTCCTAGTAAAACGCACAGTGGTGGACCGTAAAGCATCCAGATGGTGTGTATGGTATCGTGAGTTTTGTCGCGGTGTGCGTTTTCGACATTTAGTGGCTGGAATTAATCCGAACTATTCCTCAAGCTCTCACCGTGGTAAATGCGATAGAAAATACGAAGGGATGCAACATTTCTCCGTAACACCAGTGAATCGAGCTAACCAGAAAGAACTCGGTCATCAACGATTCGAGCCGATCTGCACTGAATGCGGTCTAGTGGAAGGAGCTGGAACTGGGATGCCCGGCCCAGAGATCAGAACAGGCCGAACTTCCACCTTGCAAATTTGCAAGCGGTGTGCCGGCATGAAATGTGCACCTGATCTACTGAGCTTTTTAGAGGCCAATTTAGCTTCTCCTTCCAAGTGACCACGAAACTACACGTCATTCGATATGTCACTACAGAGCCCAACAGACCAGTAAATTGAATTTACAATGGGTAATTCACATAGCTCGTAATCCGATAACCGCTAGGAAGTTTCACGAGTGGTATAATAGTGGTATGAAGAGACTTTCTTCCACACTTAGTAGAGTGGCAGCTTCAAGGGTTGTGCAGAGTGTCGATGGATCCAGATGACTCAGGACTATAGTTTATCGCAATCAATGGTGAAAGCCAATGTTCAACAGTGTGCTTGATTGATTGTAGTGATAGTGAATAATGCACTGGTAAGTAATGTCCTCTAATTTAATGTATCTTTAATATCAACCCGTTACAGTCCGCATGAGAATTTTCTCTTTAAACTAAAACACTGCATCGTATAATCTGCTACTTAGCGATAAAAATACGTAAAAGAGAAACCCTACCATCCAAAACACTCAAATAGCGCATGCATTTAAATCCTCATTGCTTCTTCAAATCAAAAATTCTTCAATATTATGTAATAAATATATGGGAAGTAATAAAAACTTTAAGTTTCGTGAAGATTTTGGGACTTCATGTGGACGATCTCCTAACACGTAAGGTCGAACTGGCAACCATAATAAACACCTATGCCGTACGCACCTTACGAGGATAAATAACCACCGATCAAGCTAAGATATAGTATAAAATTCTGGGGCAATAACTATAAATAACATTATATCTGTGTTAATGAACATCTTTTGAACAAGAACCAGATATCTTTATTTGACTTGACTAGCTATAAGCTGGTAGCACATAGTACAAGAGTTAATAAAAAGACATGTGGAACATTGATACTTAGTAATAAAAATAGAAATATTGTGGAGTTTCCAATAATACAAACTTTTAAGAAAATGGATAGATTTGAAGTGAGTAGCAGATATTTGTGTTTATTGTCGCTACCGAACTCCAAATGATAAAAACATGGCTGATTTTCTACATAGATAGGAAAAGCTATTACAGTATTTATTTCAATAAATAAGTATTATTTTTGGTGATTACAGTGTAGATATCATGACATAATTTTTTTAACTTCCCGCTAAGAAAATTGAAAATTTTCAAAAATAGGGAAGTTATTGGTTTCACCCCGTCTTTGAAAAATCGAGATTACATCACTTCTCGACGTTTTGAGATCCCAGGAAGCTATTCTGACTAATTTCACGTGGACGTCCGTACGGATGTATGTATGTATGTATGTGTGTGTGTGTGAGTGGGGTGGGGGTGTAAGTATGTAAACCTTTCATAACTTTTGAATGTCTTGATCGATTGAGATACGGTTTGAGGCATTCTAAAGATCTCAATGTGGAATAGATTTGGTGATAATATGAACTGATTCGGACGAGTAGATTTTGAGAATAAAAATTTTGAAAAACTGTTTTTTTTTTTTTGGAATAACTTTTATGGCGTCGAATGTCGTTTGAAAAATAAAAATCAGTTCATTCGTTCGTGAGATACCGAAGGAGAAAGAATTTGAAAAAATACGTTTTTTTTAACATAGCAAGAGCAAGTTTGTGTTTCTTACATTATTTGTAGAACTTAAAAAACTGCGTTGAATGCCGTTTTGAACATGAAAATCGATCTATCCGTTCATGAGATATCGAAAATGAAAAATGAAAAAAAAAAAACGTTTTTTAACATAACTTCGAGATTTCACAACCGAGCAAGTTCCGCTTTTCTTTTCTTTTTTTGTTTTAAATTACTCCAATATTTCATATTCAACATCATAATTTGGTGAAACTTAGAGCGCTATGCATTTGAAATTAGCGGGAAGGTATAGGCAGGCATGGCCTGCAGGGTCAACCAATTTTTTACAAATAAATTCAATGCCTTGCTACTTGAGAGTTTTAATAAAAAAATGGCAGTTAGTGAGAAAATGTAGAAAATTGGGATTGCTCTGAATCTCTAAGGGCAAGCTAAATGAAGCACTTTTTATGTTCTGGTAAAAGAGCTCATAAGAATTTAGGTATATAGGTAGGAATAAATATATTACTCTTTATAGAAAAATAATAATGCAGTCAAAAAATGGCAATGAAAAATTGAAACTGCTAGGCCCGAAAATTTGTCAAAAATTCCCAACTAGCTTTCATATATGAAAGCTAGTTGGTGAATACAGAAATCGATCAGGTAAATTGCAAAATCAAGTATTACTCAAATCAAATAATATGATCATTGACTATCCAGCCGAAATCGTGATT